TACCAGGCTGAGCCAACATACCAGGGCCTCTGTGTGACTAACGTGTACTGACCCCCTAACTGGATTTTAAAGTTCAGGGCTTAGACCTAACCCCCTAACCTTTATACTCTATACCCTAAACCCTAAGCCCCATAAACCCTAAGGTATAGGCCTTAAGATTTAGGGTTCGTTAGGGTTAAACCCTAAACCCTAAACCCTAAACTCTAAACCCTAAACCCTAACCCTAGACCCTAAGCTCAAAACTCTAAACCCTAAACCCTAAGCCCTGAACCCTAAGCCCTAAGCCCTAAACCCTAAACCCTCAGCCCTAAACCCTAAACCCTAAACCCTCAGCCCCAAACCCTAAACCCTGGTTCTTCTGCCTCGGCTTTATGGCAGGCCAAGAGTCGGTGCTCGTCTTCGAGTAGAGGCGGCTCTGCATGATACCCATGCCCATGGCACGGATCAGCTTCCTTGGTTTAGGGTTTATCAGCTTCCTTGGTTTAGCGTTTAGGGTTTCGGGTCTAGGGTTTAGGGCTTAGGGTTTAGGGGTTTAGGTCTTAGGGTGTAGTTCAGGTTCAGGGTTTGGGGTGCTAAGAGAGAAGATTAACAAAGCAAAACACTTAATGCGGGGGCCGTAATAATTGGAATAGGATTTTGGGGTATATTCTACTACAAAGATAATCAGGAACCCCCAAAATAGTATAGGTAGTTATTAAGGCCCCTTTAGTACCCTGATGGAATTCTGAGGTTTCAGAACTTGGCGAGGCCCCGTTGCATGCAAGGCACTGAAGCTCGGTGGTAAGTCCTTCACCTTCCAGATCAGATGCAAGCTTCCGGGTCCCCAGAGAGCCGGTTTAGGGTTTAGGGTTTAGGGTTTAGGGTTTAGGGCAATACCCCTTAATTAAGGAATATAAACCTGGAGTTATATGGGCCTTAATTTTGTGGTGTCAAGTATATTCCTTAATTAAGGAGTATCGGGCTCTCTGCGTCACTGAGCAGGGCATCAAAGCCCAGGCCCCACTTGGAGGTTCATGGGTAATTAAGTCCCCTAATATGGGTTACAACTCTAGTTACCCCACTTCTAACCCCACTTATAACTACCCATGAACCTCCAAGCAAAACCTTCTACCTGAGCCCTTATTCTACTAAGAGGGTCGACATACGAAGGATATTGGGGTTTAGGGTTTAAAATTTAAGGTATCTACCGCGATGAGGAAGAGAGGCCACAAAGGTCCGTTTTGCGGGGCCAGCGTGGCGGCGGAGTTAATTTCCCGGAATAAACTTGCTACTATATAGTTCTCGGCGGAGAGCCTTCGGGATCTCGTGTGAGGGGAATCTAAAGGGGAAAGGGGGTGCTATATATGTTCAGTTACTGGCCGTATGATGAACTTCTGTCCTGCGGTCGTAGAGAAGGGGTTTTAGGGGCGGGGGGGGGGGGGGGGGG